GAGAGAGAGAGAGAGAGAGCTCAAACCTCATCCACCAGTCTCAAACCCCTCCCTTCCTGCACAATTTTGGTCTGGGCATCAAATCCTTCAAATTACTTGCCTGAAACTCTACAGCCGCTCTCAAAATCCCCAAGAGCTTCTCCTCTATCGTTTTCCCCTCTCTCTCTACCATCCCCAAAGCCCTCGCCACGGCCTCCATTGTGCTCAAGCACCCCTTGAATGGCTCCTTCCTCAAAACCAGTTCCCCGCTGTAAACACTCGCCCCTTCCAACCCTATCTCGAAGGGAAAGCACACCTGCTCTGCAAACTCCAGCAAAAATGGCAGGCTCGCTCGCATCATCTCCTTCGCATGCTTCCATGTACCATCAAAGAAGATCAAAACCAGAGGCGAACCACAGCTATCTCCATTGTTGTAGAGAACCGAGCTCCGATTCCAAGCGGTTGATTCTCCATTGCCGTGTGGATCAGATTGAGCCGAAACGGGACCTGCACTATTGTCCGGATTATAGCTCTGTTCTGAACCAGACGCCCCTCCATTTCTGTATGGACAAGGGCTCGGGGACGAAGAAAAAAACCCTTCATTGCTGTATGGTCGCGACATCTGAGTCGAACCAGAGGATCCCGCATTGTTGTACAGACATGAATCAGAGGATCCTCCATTGTTGTTCGAAAACGGGCTAAGGGTTGAAGCAGAGGCTCCTCCATCGCTGTACGGACTGGATCCCTGAGAGGCGAGCCACTCAGTTAGGGGTTTGGCAGAGGGAGAGGGGAAGAAAAAGAGGGTTTTGGGAGGGTTAGAGTCGAGGAGGGGGGAGAGGCCGCGCCTGAGCACGCGGCCATGGACGAGGCTGAGGTTAGAGAGAGAAGCGGAGAGTAGAGAGAGAGTGTTGAGAGGGTGGCGGGTCTCGTGCGGGTGCTGGAGAACCAGGACGTGGGCTAGGGTTTTGATGCGGGTGGGAGGGAGGTGCGCGCAGACGCACACACTGAGCGGCCGGGCGCATGGACCCTCGCACCGAGCCCGGGCGCAGGTGGACTCCACCTCGGGCTCGAAACCGGCCAGGGTGGGCTCGAGGTCGCAATCCTCACCGCCCTTCTCCTGCGCCAGCATGCTTCTCTTCCATTATTTTTGTCGTGTTTCCTCGTTTGGACGAGAAATAGGGTGGTTTGTTGGTGCAACTTCCACAAGGCAAAAAAAGTCTACGGCCCCGTGTTCCCTCGGGTGCTTCAAAATCCATTTTGTTCATTTCTTTGGAGAAGGTTAGCCTCGGATTTCGAGCGTCAAATGCGAACTGTCGGTGGTCCCCGAGCCCAAAATTGGTATAAAAAATTGAGCAATTTCATAATAGAATGTATGATCCAATATTGATGCGGTGTTCATATAATTGTTTCAAAATGAGTGCCAGTGGGGTGTAAGGTTTTAAAAATCCGGTCCCTATATTATTTTAATATTTTTCAAATTTTTATTCTCAAACTTTTTATTCGCCCGTTCATTGAGCCGGATCGTTGATTCAGATTTCCAAACCAATTTTCCCACAGCACGTTCGGGGTCACCAAACAATGTTTTCAAACCTTTGTGGGGTGGGTTGTCCACACAACAGATTCAAGTTGGATCGCTAGATCATATATTATGGATCGTTAGATCGCAAGATTGGCCTGAATTGGTGGTCTAAAAAAATTTAAACTTTTAATATACGGGGAGAATCAAGGGAACCAATTTGTTTGAGAAAAGGGCAATGTCTCCCAAACAGTGCATAAGATTGACATGAGATTTGAACACCGGAAAGCTTGTGAAATTTTGCAGGTGGTTATTTAAGTAAGTTCACACCATATTGTACATTCACCCTGAATTCGCAATCTAAGTGAAAATTAGTAGGTGGACAATACACCCTACCATTTTGTATTTTAAAACAACTAACTAAGAACTTCAAACCTTATCTACAATCTTCGTGATTGTTGGGGATGCACTTGCAAAGTATGTCACAAGACGCTTGAAGGCTATGGTTTGGTGCCCATAACTACTGGACTTTTTGGATATTCTCTTGATTTATAATGTAGCTAACATCCCTATGTAATTTTGTATCATAGTTGTTTTTTTTTTTTTTCATTTTGAGTCAAATGAGAGGGCCCTAATCCCACTTATTTGCCCAAAAAATGAAAAGAAAAATCCCCAATGACCTTAACCTAATCCAAAATAGCCTTCGTCATGGCTGCTTTTAAATGTACGAATGGGAGGCATAAACATTCCAATGTTACATATTACAACCTTGGATCCACCACGACTAAGCCTTCAAATCTATTTCTGCTACAAAACAAGAGGATCCTGAAAGGACTCAAACACAAAAGAGTGAGCTGCCCGGCCCGGCGTTCCACTGGCTTGGCTTGACCCGAGCCCAGCCCTTGGGCTGAGGTGGCTCTGAACCTAGCCCAGCCCCATGGCTACCTCTTCTAGCCTGGGCCCGGGTTTTTCTAGGTTGGGTCGAGTAATACGACCCATTGCTAACCCTTAAATTTATATCTTTTTGGAATAGGTTTACACCCTCGTGTTCAAAAGAAAAAACCTTATCCCTTATATTTATCCTATTCGAATGGAAATGATGATATTTGCATAAAAAAACAAACCCAAAACATTAAGGAAAAGTCATTCATGGGTCAGCGGGCTCGCCCTATGACTCACTAATGTCCATCAAATGGCTAAAATGAATTTAAATGTGTAGAAATTTTCTGTAAAGAAAAACACATTTAAATATTGAAAATTTTATTTTATTTTATTTTCATATTCATGATCATCTTAACCTAGATCACGAATCTTTAAAATTTTAGATTAAAAATCTATTTTTAAGATAGGTTCAAATGGGGGCCGTATATAAACAACATGAATGGGCATATTCATAGAAATCCCATCCAAACAATAATATACTAAGACAAATGCTTAACTAGTCCTGCGTTGGAGAGTGAAAGGGTGTCAATAAGCCGAGTGGAGGCAAGCTTGGATTGTAGGTCATTATAGTCTACGCCTTAATTTTTGGCATAGGATGGGAGCTCGGTCATGGTAGTAGCACCTCCACACCTAGTTACCACGTTGTGGTTTTCAATCGTAACACCTGAAATCTTACAAATAAAAAAAAAAAGAAAAAAGAAAAAAAAGAGCTCTGTCTTCCCACTAAATTACCAAAACAAAATAAATCCTAACACGTGACACCCTACAAAAAAAAAAAAAAAAAAAAACAACTAATACGGCCATGTCTTCCCACTAAATTACCAAAACAAAAAAAATTCTCTCTCAACGGATTGGATTTTTATTTTTTATACGATGAAAAGTAAACATGCCTTTTGATACTCATGTACTTCAAGAAGTTGTTCTTGTTATTTGTTAACAAAATTGTCATATAAAGTATTCTTCTTATTGATCCAATTTGTGATCCCCATAAATCATTACATTTTTTTGCGATGTTACTTTGTATTAAATGAATGTTTAGACAATATTTGTCAAGTAAGGTAAATGGTACCAAGTCACGACATAAATTATTACTCAATGACTTTCCAAAATAAAAATAAAATTCAATGACTCTATTGTATCCTCACAATAACTATAATTTATAATTTTATTTTATGTCACAAATAAATATCTGATTTTTTTTACTCCATTTTTAAAGCCAAACCCAAATATTCACTTTTTTTAGTTACCTAATGTTTAGCAGTTCATATTTTCCCCCTCACTTTTGGCCTCCGATGTTTTCAATCAAATCCATCTATTACCAATTAATTGAATAGCCAATTTAAGAAATCGTTTGACATCGTCAGACATGTGGGGTATTGAGGTTTATTGACGTCGGTTTGATGGCTTTGTGGTTTTTTATGAATTTGAAAAAAAGCAGGTTATATAAGCTCCTTTGAATCCTTCTTTTTCTTAAAAAGCTGGCAGTCATATCTATTTTTTTTCCTTGATCAAAACACTCATTAGAGATGAAGTATTTAACATTTTGCCCATTTGCAAAAAATTTTAACTCAAGAAGATTTATTTTTCTATGGCTAATTTGAAATTAAATAAAAATATGAGTAAAGATTAACATTGTTCCTCTCTCATTGGTAAATTGATAAGTTTCTCTTAAATATGTTTATGAAAGAAAAATGGCACCTTCTCTGTATAAGTCTGCATATATTAGATAGTTTTTGAAGAAAAAGTTCTCCATTAGTCCGGGGATGCATGTGTCCCCGTGGGCATCAAACACCCATCTTTGAGATGGAAGGCCATTGAGAAGGGCCCAACTAGAATTATAAAATAGAAGATGCAAAAAAAATTCAAAAAATGTTATTTTTAAATTTATTCTTTTCATATTCATGAGGCACATGTTTTTTTTATGTATCCCTGAAAATTTGAATCCAAAACCTATTTTTTTTTATCATGAATATTCGAGTCAGTCAACTCCTTTTTTGAATAGTATAAGCTAAATATTACATTTTAAAACAACTAGAACATTATTTTCCTATTTTTAACCAATGCTGCTGCCGTACAACAGGGCTCTTGGTCCCAAATATCTATATGTGGGCACTAGAAAGGGAAAAGTTTTATGTAAGGTATCAACCTGATATACTATAAGTAATATGTACCTGATAAATTCATCCCAAAATGTTGTTTCGGAGCAAAGAAAACCCTATATTTGATCATCTAAACGTCTATATATATATAATGTAACCCATTATATATACCGTCAATTTTCAAAATTCTAAATGTTTATAGATCTACTCAATCTTTTTGGAAATTTAAATTTATAATTAGGAGTGAAAGTAGATATAAGGTCGTCATAAAGGCTTTCGATATCAAAACATTACATCTTTTCGCAAGATTTAGGGGCACATCTTACTTTTAATTCTTTAAGATTGATGCCCGGTACATTCTAGAAACCTCATATGTTATTATACGTAATTGAGCCCTTTTTACTGCGTTATTTAAGGGTAGGTGTGATTTGCCTTTTTTTATGTTTTTTTTTTTTTTGGTAAATCAGTAGGGGGGAGAAGGCCCTCTACCTGTTTTTAATTAATAACAGACAGATTACATCATAGCCCAATAAGGTTGTTGTGTCATATCTGCCTTTTCTTACTTATGGTATAATGTTTGCAAACTTGATGTGATCCGTGTTTTCATACATTTATTGCTCGAGTTTGGCAGCTACATATTAATTAGCTTCTCTTAATCATATCTTAAAGCTATCCTTGCATCGTTTTTGGTGTTCTAGGCGGGATATACCTTTTCCTACTTCTAAATCATATGGTAGAACTGGAGCTCTTGTCAATTTTGTGAGCCATTTGAGATGCATTTTCTCATGGATGTTTCTCTTTCAGAGCAAGTTCGATTTTCCGACAATGTGCTTCGGCTTCTCGTGTTTGATTGCGGAAAGTCCTATTCTACATTTTATTAACAAATAGAACTTTATTTTCCCATTTTTAACCACGGTTGCTGCCATACCTCATTGCTCTGGGATTCTTCCCCAAACTATCTATATATATGTTGGCATTAAAAAGGGAAAAGTTTATATAAGATATCAACCTTATATCGTAGTAATATCTATCGGAAAAATGCACCCCAAAAGGCTGTTTGGGAGTGAAAAAAACCCTATATTTTATCGACTTGACCTCGAGCTGTATGAATATATATATATATATATAAAAGATTTTAAAATCTAAAAACAATATTATAATATAACACATTATCTAGACCGTCTATTTTCAAAATTCCAAATATTTGTAGATATGCTTAAGCTGTACCATTTTTGGAGCTTTAAGTTTATACTAAGGGGTAAAAGTAAATTTAAGGTCATCATGAGGTTTTCGATACAAAAAATTACATCTTTTAGGAAGATTTAGAGACACATCGTTTCATACATTTATTATTCGAGTTCGGAAGCTACATGTCATTTAGCTTTTCTTCATAATCTACTTTGCATTTATTATTTGATTTTATTGGTGTGCTAGGTGTGATATGCCTTTTCTTACATCTAATCGTACGATAAAACTCTCTTATCAATTTTTTGAGCCATTTGAAATGAATTTTCTCACGGATGTTTTTCCATGTTTGTCTCACGTGAAAACATTTCTCACAAATTATTTTTACATGAAAGAATTCTCTCATGTGGTTAAGAAAGAGAATATTTTCATACTAGTTAGTCATCGTACATCTTTTCACGCCAATTGGTAGCTAATTGATAT